ATTTCCAGTTTATTATCGCTTTGTGGCCCACGTGTGATAATGTCCATGTTTGCTAGTCTTGAAATGGCTTTGCAAGACCAACATGCTCTGTAGTGATATTCTCAACCAGGCCATCCATTTTATGCCATAATTGGACAGTTTACATTTTTGAATCGCAGCTCCCAGAATCCCCTAGGCATCATGGCCATTAGGAATTGCAGCTGAGAAGAGAAACCTTTCCAAACTAATGAGGGCCACCAGTGAAAGCAATTTCATGACGAGAACCAAGTAATAGTATTCTTCAAACTAACCCATCCTTCCTTACTGCATCTTGAACAGGCTTCTCCAACCTTATGTCCTCCACATGGGTTGGGATGCAACTCCTATTGTCCCTAGCCAGGAATGGCCATGATGGTTCAGGATGATGGGCACTGTAGTCCAACATACATGAACAGAAAACACCAGTCAGGGGAAGACTCCTCTTAAGTGTCCTGGAGATGACTTGCTCTGAACATCTCCATGATGGTTTCACCTTGCCAGGGAGGCTGATAGCTGATAGTTCAAGAGGACCTGAACTGATGGAGGAGTCACTCTAAAAACAATTATTCCCTCCCTGCTAATGTTTAACCTCCCATTTTGCAGGTCTACAGGTTAGTGCTTCCTAACCCTAACCTGAGGAGGAGGAGGAGGAGGGCTGGTCCTCTGCCTCCCAGTTCATCTGCAATCCCTCCCAATCCTTGCCTTTCTGAACTCATTCCTGGCTATTCCTCCTTAGCAAAAAATACTCTCTTGGAATACAGAGAGAGAGAGATAATATCCCAGAAGACAGGATGGAAATTCGAAATGACCTTAATAGATTAGAAAGCTGGGCCAACGCTAACAAAATTAATTTCACCTTGGAGAAATGTAAGGTACTGCACTTAGGGCAAAAAAAATGAAATGCATATGTATAGGATGGGGGACATCTGGCTTGATAACAGTACATGTGAATGGGATCTAGGAGCCCTAATAGGCCACAAGTTGAACATGAGTCAACAGTGTGATGCCGCAGC